GGCTCAAAAATATGAAAATTAGAATTCTCAAAATGTTTATATCTACTTTTATAGAGAATGTTTACTGTGAGCTCTACACCACTGCTGCATATTAGTGTACAGTCTATTGGATGACTACATTGTAGAGTATAAACTATAACCTTTATTTCATGTGAAACACTACGAAATATACAATATAGCATGTTAACAATATATATATACTTTCAAGCCTCATATTACATAATATTAATTGGAATGTCACTGAAGTGAAGGTGTATTCTGAAGTCTCGCACTGTATAGCATGTCTGTAATTTTAATACTTATGCTGTAAAGTTCACATGTTCAGTAATAATGCCATTAATTGATTCAAAACAAACTATCAGATAGTATTTTTATTCACCAAGAAGCTTCTGAAGAATCTGGCCATCATATAAATCTTCCTCAATGTCTTTAACAATAATTCTTTGATTTGCCAGTTCATCATTAATCCATTCAATCAAAACTTTGATCAGCTCCTTCAATTTTGGATTTTCATAGGAAGAAGGCTCTATCATAGATCGTTCCTCATATTCATCTGAAATTTAAAAAAAATAATTCTAAATTTTGCAAGTTACAAGACAACACATAGAACTTAAGATTATATATTTTGAGAAGTACAATGTATCTATCATAACTATGTTGGGATATACTGATGCACAAAATAGTTCTTGAATGACCTTCTGAAATAAGTATTTTAAGTGCTCATGAGAATGTTGCAAAAATTCTTCCATTAACCCTATCACAAGCAGGCATTCCTAGGAAACAGAGAAAATTGAGAAATTTGACAACATATCAAATATGTTACATTTGCTTCATTTTCTTGTATATTTTCTTGAAGGAAAGCCCCCACAAATCATGTATCATTGGATTCAGTGTGAAAATTCATTAACAAAGTATACCCTGGGAAGAGAACTAGTGGATATATACTGCTATAGCAAGCAAGCTTTGCTTGTTTGTTTTTTTAAACACTAAGCTACACAATGGGATATCTGTGCTTGGCCAACTGCAAATATTGAAACTTGATTTTTAGCATTACAATCGCTCAGCCTTACTTATAAGCCAATGGGGAAGGGGGAGGAGTTAGATATTTTAGTAATGTGAAAAAAATCATCTTAAGTTGAAATCAATGCAAGAGTTGATGCAAAAATTTGTAGGGATAACTACATAAAAAATGCTATTCAAATTTCTTGTGCTTAAATAAACTAACCACAGGCACTAAAGATAGTTATAAAAATTATTTAAAAATTAATGTCTCCCTTTGTGACTATCCTTAAATTAGAATTAGTATGTCAGTAGTTTTTGCTTAGAATGAAGCTAAGTTCTTTCTGTGAAAACATTATATGTGTAGACATATCATCAGAATTCTTTAACTTTGGAACATCATGGTTGACTGGTATGCAACTTGATTTCTAAAGCTGGTACTCTTGGTATGTGATCTACCATCAATGTAGACTGCACAACAGAACAGTTGATTGAGAATCATTAGGTAAGGTATGTTGGTGCCATTAATCTGCCTTCATTTCTAGATGCAATATAGCATGAAATTTACTTAATGTAATCATGCACAGACATAATTTCTAATTGATGAATGCAAATTCTTGTCTGTCTAAGGACTCTGACATATTCTTATGTAATATCTGGACTTTAATTTTCAGTAGGATAGGCACATTATATATCTCTAACATGATACTGTTGTTTAAACTGTGATATTATTCCAAATAGTAATTAGTATCAAGGTAAAAAGTGAACATGATGTATGAAAGAAAGTTTGAATTTTGTGATGCTGAAAGTAGTTAACAAAAACAACTTAGCAAAACAAACGAAAAATACAAAAAAAAACAAACTTAAAGTAATCTGACATGAGCTACTTGTAATGTTGTTTGTGAACATAAGTAAACTGTAAAAGTAGAAAAGCAATTTTTACATATTTATGCAATAATTGTTCACAATTCAGTTTTAAAAAACTAAATGACATAATAACTGGAAAATATTAATTGGGATTATGAAACATAATTGCAGAATAATCATTCTCTGAGAAACATGGATCACAAAAATATTTATAATACTGAATTTAACTGATAACATAAATGAGTATCTTACAAAGTAAAAGTTTTATAATTTAACATACTGATAATAGAATGATATATAAAAATTGTATGCTATGATTATCCATAAATGTAATTCATACTTGTTACACCCCATGTAAGTTTATTTTTTAATAATGGTGAATGATTCATTATAGGCTGGATCACTTCCTGTAAAAATACTCAGTATCAATGAATTAACTTTGTTCTAACTTTTAAAATTATCAGTTGTTAATTTGTTTAAAATTAATTACATTTATAATCACAGAATAAGTTAATGTTATTTAGTGATGCATTGTAATATTCATAATAGTTCTAGGAATAAACAAAATATGGTGCTTAAATCAAACAAGAAATCTTATCAAACTATTCCTGTCCAATATAATCTTGCTCTGCTCTTGTTCAAATTCAAGTAATGGAGTTAAATATTAACCTGTTTTATCCTTATCTATTATACTGAGAAGATAAAACTCTCTATATTAAAAGATAATAAAAATTATTTCAGCCAAATCTTGAGAAGCAAAAGCTTATTAAACAGGAAAGTATGATGAAATGGCATGATAGGATTAATAATTTTTTATAAATTTATCATCTCCAATCCAATATAGACACATTGAATACAGATGGCAACAACAGTATTTAACTGAATGAGATCACCAAATGCTCTCCAAGAAATGTTGAATAAACAAACCACGGTATTAAGATCCTAATGCACGAACTGTCATAAATCAAGCTATTTGTAGTGATGTTTTTAGGTTTGGTTTATCATGTGTGCCTATGTTTTAACTATTAAATAGAAGTTAAACACGGAAGTTTTCATTAACTACTGCAGGACTTCATATTTTTAATTCAAATTATTAGTATAATTTAAACTTTAATAAAAATAACAGACATTTTCATTTTATTTTCAAAAGTATGTACTGAATACTTAAATTTTATGGGAATGACAACACCACACAATTAATATATAATGTTTATTCTAATGATGGGCAAGTAACAATATCATTAATGTTAAATAATTCCAACATTACTTACCTTTAAATCTTAGTTTTACAATATCTACAAAACATTACAAACATGAAATGTAAATAAGCCATATTTTACTAAATTAGAAAATAAAGAGATAGACTTACCAAGCACATAATCTTGAGGTGGTAGCTCTGCTGATGTGGGACTTCCAGATGAATCAATAGCATTTTTCCCTTCTTCTTCTAGCTCATTGGCTGAAATAATAGTTTACTTTTCTTTAGAAAAATTGAAGTCACTATATATACTTCTAAATCTGGTCAATTTTCTTGTTACAGAGAAAAAATGTCCTGATTATTAGCTTCTTCAAAATAATATGTTTACATATAAAGTATTTTTAATATATATATATAATTCTCATACATTTTTTGAAAACAAAAAAATAGCAATGCTTCCTGCCCTTTCATGAACTGACACTATTTACTAAAAGAAATTGTGACCAAGAATATAAACTACAACTCTCTTAAGGTAGCCAAATGCCTTGTTATCTAATTAGTGATGCACGTGAATGGATGAATGAGATTCCCACTGTCCCAATCTACTATCTATCTGTGGTTTCACTAGATAGTAGATAGGGACAGTGGGAATCTCATTAATCCCTTCATGCGTGTCACTAATTAGATGATGAGGCATCTGGTTACTTTAAGAGAGTCAGTTATTTCATGTAGCAAGGATGAACTTTATCAATTACTATTACAGCAGCCATTTTAACTGGACCAACTAAATTTAAGAAAAGCAGTATTAAATCTGCTAATAAAATTTCTTTGCTATCTTTGATATAACTTCTGCGTATTATGCAAATTATCAAGAAAAAAACTCATTAAAGACTCAACAAAACCAGTTTCTCATGCATTTTTTTATGTATCCACTAAATCTCCAAAACCTAATTATTATGTAACCTTTTGTGAAACAAGATAAATACCATCATCTTAGTGTTTTTGTTCAAAAAGAGCAGAATTTCAATTTTAAAAGAATCTAAAAATATAGTGAAGTAGGAAAATTCCTTTAAAAACAATGCTGAGGATAAGTTATTATTTCAAGGTGGCTATGGCCTTTGACAACAAATACAAATACTGTAAACAACAGAGATCAAATGGACATACAGGTAATACTGTGATGTATTTAAACTGTCTTAAACATTAGGATTTGTTGATACAACAGCCACAGATGGAAATAAACAATGATCAGAGGGTGTAGCTTAAGGAACCTATTTAGAGTTTCAGTACTGGATAATGCCTGCATAACAAACATGAGAGACACAAAACAAATTCTTATCATGTCAACAGAACTAATAAATAAATTCAATGTCCTGTTTCTCATTTATTTAATTCCCAAATCACTTCAATAAAACGTCTGTTTTCATCACTAAATTCATTCTCATAACCTACCTTGAAATTAATGTTTTACAAATTACCACATACAGTAGCTTCAATTTGAACAATTAAGCACGATCTACTTTAATTCTTATTATTAGTTCTTCTAAATCAAATTCATTTCTTTATAATTTATTCAATTAATCTATACAAGTTTTTACAATAATACATTTCCCTACATTAAAGGTACAATCCTTATTACAATTTCATTAGGTTCTTAACAACTAACTGGCTAATCAAGGTATTTACAGCTCATTGTTCTATATAGTACATTTACTATTCATATTATGCATTCCACTAAAATTACTGCATTTTTCAAATCTTTTATAATTATTATACATATGACAGCAATGGTAAATACCAATTATATGAGTAATAGCAAAATACCACTTACAAACCCAACACAAATTCAGGTTTTGTAAAAAAAACTCCCTGACAGTTTGGTACATCACTCACACAAAATTCGAGGACTCATGAAGTCAGAATATTCTTTTAATACTGCCTTTCTAGGTCATATCGATAGAGATATGACAACACTTGACAGTCAGCACTGTCATAATTAGACACTTGGCTGCTCAATGCACTTGAATATACAGCCGATACCTCTCCTCAGCTGTTTGACCCTAGCTACCAGGTCCGGCAAGAACACTTAAGAGTCAACCACAGACCAGCACTTTAGTTTCAAAAAATAACTTTCTTGCTCTGAATCTCAATGTTATCACATCAGTTGAAAATGTCATTCCTACCACAGACATGAAACAATTACAGTATTTCTTAAACTCTTGGCTACAACAAAATAATCATTAACACCCAAAAAACTAAATACACATAAAATAAAATCTCACACATCACTTTATATAATCACTACTAATTTAAAAAACAACATAAACAAATATCCCATTAGAGGGCCAGTCATCTTTTCCAGGGACCATATACAAATTTAATGATAATGTCAAGCTGTTATCATCTTAGGTCATGACTACAGCTAGGCAATCAATTGAATTTAGTAATCAAATAATTGTCGAGTTCATTAACCAATTACATTCAACTAACTGATTATTCTCAGATGAGGTTAATATTCCCATTTCCAACTTGATTTGGTGGTCTATATTGTTTTTTTCTAAACTACCCTTTCATTATGATAGGCATACTCAGGTACAATAACTGAAAACTAAGTTACTTTTCTTTTAATCCTAAACTGTTGTATATGAAAAATATATCATATTCAAACAAAACAGGAAACCTGTAATAAGCTGAAAATACATTTAATACCATTCCTTGTATTTCTCCTTACAAATATTTACAAGATTACTCTAGCTAAATCGTGACAATATAAATGAAGCTTTTTTTAAACAAATGGTATATGAAACAGTTAAAATGAAATTAACCACACAAGAGCATTTTTCTACAGCACAGCAACCTATAGTATTGATATGTTACAAAGCTGTTTACCAGGTACTTGAAAATTACATGTATACAAACATCACATGCAATACTTACATGAGACTAATGTGCAAACCAAATAAACCTTATAATAAAAACATTTGTGTTCTTTGAAAATATTTGAAGATTTCTGAAATGGTTGTAATTAGCTATTGCCCTGAAAATCTAAATGTAGAGATCTGTGTGCTGAATAAAATTTGTTAATTTTTGTTTAGTTGCATGTCATGATTTTAGGTAACAATATGAAGATAGATGGAAAGCAATCTGCCCTAACCAAGACTTTAATCAAGAACTCTTGACTCGCATTGTCTTAAGTCCGATGCTCTCCTGAGCCAGCAGAACAAGCCCAAAGCAAATACTTTTTTACCTAGTTCCTTACAACATACAAATCTTTTAGTTTGCCTTTTATAACATGTTTATATTCATGCCACAGAAAAACATGCACATGTTAACATGAAATAAAAATATGATCATCTTTATGATAACCAAATAAATATTTTAACTTTCTTTTTTTAATCTTACAGAATACACTCAGATGGCTCAACTCCAAATAAAGTAATTCTACAAAAAACAAACAAGAGATTTACTGATTTTTTGGGTGACAAACAGATGGTGGATGCATGTACATTCTCAAATGATAAAAGCACACTGCTTTTTTTCAGCAAACTCAAACATACTTTGAGGTCTAAAACAAAAATGACAGTTGAAATTTTGATTAGCATTGGCAACCTGTTAGTAACCTTCTGGAAGTAGTAAAAACTACATTTACTAAAATAGATTCTTTTTAATTCTTAGCTGTTTTTGTAATAGTATCATGCATCTTTATTATTATCTGATCCAATTGAAATGTTGAGTCACAAGTATCCTAAATCAAAATAATGGCCAATACAAAGGAGGTCTAATATCACTTATTATGTGTTTTGTTTCTGAGTCATTTTACCAAATTTTTTCAAATAATAATTAATTTTAATATATTTGAACTGACACTGTATATGTCATACAAAGGTCAATCTACTACTTGTAAGTTACAAGAAAACAAATCAAAAGGTAATCATATGGAAAGGATTTATATACATATACATTTTAACTACATTTTTTATAGTAGTTCAATTATAATTTTGCTATGTTGCTCTTGTTACTTAGATGTACAGTAGGGTACTTTAAACAAAAATAAAGTGACTTACATTTTCTACACATACCATTTCTGTTACACACTCAGTGTACAGAAATAACCCAAACACTGGGTGAAGTAATTCTTTTTCTATTCAGATGCATAATGGGTTGTAACAATTATTAGTGGAGTTAAGTGCTAGAACAATAGTATTTTTGGTTATACTTTTTAGTGTGTTTGTATGTTATTACAGACCCTGTAGCCAGTAGCCAACAAAGTCAGAACCTACAACAAATTTGATGCAAAAATAGTTTAGAAAATGTGTTTAAAAATTTAAAGAGAAGGTAATTCTGTGGTAAAACATGATATAACTGTTTTTTAATGTTTTGGGGTTTGTGTGATCCTACCAAAAATCACTCTAATAGTTAGATTTATATCTAGTATCTGGTATTTTAAACATCTGTCTCGGCTGTTGATCAAATTCAAAAATTAATCAGTATAGTAATTACTTCTAAGTTCTAAAGAATTTAATGCGTTATATTTATGCTTTTACTATATTTTACCCAATATGTACGAAGCAAACACTTAAATGTTTACGTAGGATGTAAAATCACACGTATAGAATACAATATATAAACACATGTGACATCAAATTCTTAATAATGTGGAACAGCAGGGTCAGCCTTTAGCCTGGAGCGACAGCGCACCGCATGAGAAATGCTCCGGAGAAACACACGGCAATCGTGTATTCAAGAGTTTGTAGTTTTATCACAATTTTCAACAAGCTTTTGTGTTATGCCCTTTAATGATATAATGATTTAAATTTTTAAGCATTTCATATTACGGGTTATTTTATTTCGATGTTTTTATTATTTAAAGTGTACTTTAACAGATTCATATATGAGGCGAAGGGTTGACAGGTTAGTCATAACCACAAAAACAATTTGATTGATTGATTTATTTATTTACAGCTACGCGTTCTTCAATTTCCACAGGAACACGCGGCTACCTAAGGGTGGCCCTTTAGCGTAGTATAATTTCCTACTCTTTTTTTTCATGCACATTAATAAATACTTAAGTCAAACTTAAATATTACGTCTTGTAAATGTTTAATACACTATTCCTAAATAGCTTATGACGTAACATCCTAGGTGAAAAAACAAATAAACTGAGCTTTGATAACTAGGTCAGACAGCGATACAAGGTGTTGCGTGGTGTACATAGTTTTAACTTAAACGTTATTATGAATATCTGTATTCATAAATTATATCAGAAAAATAACGAAGCATGATTAACAATGTTAGCCAGTTTTTTAGAAACCCGAAATATTTTATCTTCATAATTATTACAGGTTTAACATAAATTTTGTATTCTGCTAAACTGATCAAACTAACTTTATAAGTTATACTCATGCTAGTACTATTGCTGTGAATACAACTCATAATAGCACCGATGAACACGTTTCTTACCTTCTTTTATTTTCTTTCTTCTACCTAGAGTTCCTAAATATTCGAAAAAAGATTCATCTTTTTTCTTCTGTGGTGTAGTAGGACGAGGAGATTTCGGCCTCGGAGACGCCATGGTTAAGCCCTAAACTGTTAATGCTGTTGGGACAAGTTTTCTCTTTCCATATAAAGAGTTTAGCGGTGAGGCGTCGTCGCCTCCCACGTTTGATTCTCACGCTGTACAGCGAGGAAGCCATCGCGGTTCTATGAGGACATCCCAATGTAACTGTGACGTCATAATATTAGGTGTATTTTGTTGAAAAGACTTACTCATTTACTGATAAATACAAATATCCTCATGGATACATAAATAAACGTTAGAATATTTATAACATACATTAGTGGTTTGGATTTATGAATGACAAAATAACATTCAGTCCAATAGTTATAATATGAAATGCAACTAACAGGTAGCCCATTCTTAAATTTTTGATTTGTATATTTGGACAGAAGTAGGTTGGTTGGTTGTGTTAGATATTCAGGCCACAACTACACAAAGGCTATGTGCGCTAGCTGTGACAGGCTAGATGGAATTTGGCAGCTAGTCAATAACCCCCACCGCCATATCGCAGCCTACTGTAATCGAATAGTGGGATTTGAACGTCAGTCTTCTAAAGCATCCACGTACCTAAAAGGTGGAACACGATTTTGTGGTAGCGGAACGTGAACCATGGACTCTCGAATTCCGAGGTCGGCATTCTAAAAACTAGGCCATTCCTGGTCCTTCAGAAATAAGTAAGAAAAATGGAGCCTGATGATTTTAAATTTTAATCATCGTGCACTTATAATAAATTTATTTCAAACTAAATTTTTGTTATTATATATGGTATATAACGCCTATGCCAGTTGTTACGTCATCGAGATCACGTGACAATTCTCACGCTCTCTTGTTTCTAGAACTATCCCGTATCTTG